TTTTAGAGACATGTTCAAAGAACGATATAGAGATTGAGAATGGGTTTCTTTCTGAATCTGATCATACATATGCTCTAAATAGAAAAACACACTATAGGTGCAAACAGGGATATGTAACAGCAAATGGAGAAACATCAGGAACAATTACCTGCCTCCAAAATGGATGGTCAGCTCAACCCTCATGTATCAGTGAGTACTTCATTATATTCCTGCCATTGTACTGGTGATGTGCAAGGGTTTAGCTTTATTCTCCTTTGAGGTGGCTGGTGTTGTTTCACTTGAAAGGTGAGTTTTAAACTTCAAGAAAAAATATTTCACTATTTGTTTTTCCTTTTGGACTCATTCCTGCTTTGTAGAATATCAGTTCATTTCCTTTTCCAATGCTTTTTTTCCCCAAATACCCTATAGTTTTAAATTTAGTGAAGAATTCTTCAACTAGCTGTCTTTTAAAAGATACTGTGCCTTGCATATGAAAGCCTTTGCTCCTAGATATAAAGGCAAAGTTTTAAGTGAAGATACATGTCTATGTTTTAAATCCCAGAATATGTGATAACCTTATAATATGTATTTGACACTATCAGTTAATGTCTGTCTCAGAAGGTATCCCTCTTAGAAATTCTTCCCAAATATTCTGATATTGGAAAGAAAGAAATGTTCCCAGGTAACATCAAATTTTCATGTTTTAGTACCTACAGTCATTGAAAGTTTTTTGAGAATAGTGAGTTCAGCTTGTCTTACTTATCAGAAAGCTAGCCAGTGCTATTTTTCAAGAACTATGCAACATAACTTAAATGATAAGGTGATTTAATTTAATTAACTGCTTTCTTAGTTTCTATTTTTCATTTATTGTACTTTTACAGGATCTATTTAAAGAAAAAGCAATTAAAAGTATTCCCATGTAATATTCATGTATATTAAATTATAATTTACAAGCCTTTTTGGATATGCAATATTCTATATTGCATATGAACTACTAAATAAGGGACATTAGTTCACAAAGGTTATTACCCTTCTCTAAAACAAAATATATCTGAAATTGTCTGTTTATTTGCAGTATGTGATAAATACAAGAAAAAATGAGCCGAAAAATTATTTTTAATATAAAGTTTTATAAAACTTAACTGAGGCAGTAAATGCTAATCGGAGTGTAGTTTTTATTTAATAACTGTTTCAGGAAAATGATTTATTGTTGGTCTTCTAAGGGTCTTTTTATATAGTATTTCATTGTTATTATATACTTTTATTCTCACAGGAATTGCTCAGATTGTCCATTGACACATTAAATGATATCTTCCATTTCATTTTGCTTTAGAGTCTTGTGATAGGCCTATATTTGAGAATGCTGGAACTAAAAATAATAGCACGTGGTTTAAACTCAATGATGAAATAGACTACGAATGCCATATTGGATATGAAAACAAATATAAACATACCAAGGGCTACATAACATGTACATATGATGGATGGTCTGACATACCTTCATGCTATGGTGAGTACGATTTTCTCTGGGATTTTTCTTTTCACAAGGCAAAAATAAATATTTATGTGTTACTTGAAAATATGAACTTCCTAGGATCTTCCTTCTGATTCAATGTAAACTTGGAGAAAGGGCTGTTTTGAAGGCTAAAGCTGATCATGTTTGTTTTTATTATTGCATTGCGAGCATTTATTTATCCTATGTGGGTACAACGGTTATACGTGTGCATCTATGGAAGTGTGCACACCACATGACTCTTGAAGATGTCAGAGAACTTGTGAGTCAGCTCTCTTTTTTCATCATGTGAGTCCCAGGATTGAACTCCTGTCACCAAGCTTGGAGGGAAGCCCCCTCACTGACTGAACCATCTCATTGACCTGATAGTCTGTTTTTAAAATTATGTCTTTATGAGGTGTTGACAGCACATTCGTGTGACTCTAGCACTATGAGCCTGGAACAAGAGGTTTTAAGTTTGAGGACATGTTGGGCTACATAATGAATCCCTGTTTCCATAAACAAACAAACAGAATACATAAAATTAATTATTCCTTTGTATTACCTATGTTTATTCAGGCACCTCAACAGGTTGGAGAGTGTTTTCTCCAAGTGACTCCATTGATCTAAACCTCTTCCAGGGAGCTGGGTTGGTTTTAGGTTCTTCCAGGAAGCTGGTGCCATCTCAAAATCTTCTATTTTGCATCTAGTCTTGTCTGAAAATCTCCTTTGTAACTTGCCTTGTCTGAGAATGATTCATCAGCTTGGCTTGTTTACTTGGGAGTGAGGTGCCTACTGAATCTGATCAGTTTCAGGGACTTCCCAAAGCTATTTAGAGTTCTTTACCTTCCTGCTAAAGGAGCTTTCCTGCAGGATGGAATATTTTAATTTTGGATAAACTGTTACACAATAAATTCCAGTAGACTTTTGCAGACCTGGTGTCACACCCGATACCAATAACTAAATAAAAACCCTCTTCTTATTAAAATTTATTCATAGTTATGGTGAATATGGAGGACCCCAGACTTTTAATAGCTGAGTCTTGTAAGGCTGAATTTTCCCAGTCAGTCTAAAAAACTTAATATTAAAACAAAGGAATTGTTGGGGACTGTTTCCAGAAACTCTAATGTGTGCCATGCTTGTGTGTCCTATTACCACCCCTAACATGAGGGGGTGTTTTTGCTTTAGATATTGCTTTTAAAGTATATCTTTCATTTTTGTTATTAATTCTATACTAACACATGACTCTTGAAAGTTGGATTTTTCTTTTATGCATAACCCTACTTTTTAAATTGCATTCTTTAATTTTATAAATTAGTAAAAAAAAAAAAGGAAGATTTCAAACAAGAAAAAATGTTTTTGTTTTGTTTTTTTTGTAACTTAACAATGCCAACAATTTTATTTGTTTTGTTTTTTGGAGGCAGGGTTTGTTTGTGTACCTTTGGAGCCTGTCTTGGATCTCGCTCTGTAAACCAGGGTGGCCTTAAACTCACAGAGATCTGCCTGCCTCTGCCCCCAGAGTGCTGGGATTAAAGGCATGCGCCACCACTGCCCAGCTAATGCCAACAATTTTTTTAAAATTAATTGTAATGGAAAATGCTACAAATTCTTAATTTGAGTCAGATTGATTAATAGTTAATAATACGAATTGGAAAAACAACAGAATATCTTAGTATATTGTAAATATTCAAACACTCAACTACTGTTATTGTTTTGTCTATATTTCTTATGCTCTTTTTTAATTTAAAATAAAGTAATTTTATTTTCCTAACTTCAAATACATTAGAAATTATTTTACCTGTTCTAACTTCTGCAGTATACTAAACTGAAATAATTTTTTTGAAAATGTCATACACATACTGTATAGTATTAATTTCAAATATGAAAGAACAATTGTGTATTGTAAGAAAAGGGTCATTGTAAATTTAACATTAGTAATCCTCTGCGCAATTCAGACTCAGTAAAAAAAAGTTAATTTCATTTTTCAAGTCTATGACTTATGTATTCCATCAATATACATTCCTCAGACTTCCATATGAATGTAGGGGCTATAGCAAATGTAATATTCAACACTTTTCATAAGGAAGATGGTTACTGATGCTTCTCTGTGAATGCACATGAGAGAGATAAAACTACTTCTGAATGATTAAATGTATTCTCTAATTATTTTATTTTTCAAGAAAGAGAATGCAGCATCCCCTTACTATCACCACACTTATTCGTCAATCCCAGGAATGACAAATATAAAGTTGGAGATTTGTTAAAATTTTCTTGCCAACAAGGACACAGAGTTGGACCAGATTCAGTGCAATGCTACCACTTTGGATGGTCTCCTAGTTTCCCAACATGTAAAGGTCAGTATCTGTTTTACATTTGGTGAATGAAAATCAGAAGTTTATTTTCCTTCTCCTAATATTCCCTAGTCTTACATTGTGTTCATAATCTTAAACATATCCAGATATATAGACAGCCATGATGAAGTTGCAGGTTGTGTGGCTAATACACAGTCACTGATTTACAAGGTTAATCCCAGGCTAGCTTAAAATATGTTATCAGTGTGTTTAAGCATGCAGACATGATGGCTGAGAGTACAAAGACGTCTCTCATTTCGTCTGTATTACCATTTATACTGGCATTTTTACAGCATAAGCATTTCCTTATATTGCACAGAGAATGTCTAAACTGTATGAAGGCAGATTTTGATGAATTCATTAGCATTTATTAAAAAATCAGATCCCGGTACGGGCCAGAAGTGTATGTTTTCCGGGCGGTGGTGGCGCACGCCTTTAATCCCAGTACTTGGGAGGCAGAGGCAGGCGGATCTTTGTGAGTTCGAGGCCAGCCTGGTCTACAGAGTGAGATCCAGAAAGGGTGCAAAGCTACACAGAGAAACCCTGTCTCAAAAAACCAAAAAAAAATATGGGGGGAATTAAAATACATTAATCAGAGATGTTTTCTACAGTGCCAACAATTTTTACAAATTGTAGCTGTAAGTTAAATATATTCAGAGAGTGTGAAAATCACTATAATTGACACAACTACAATTGCTGACTGGGTTCCTGCATTTTCAAGGTTTCAGGTTTATCACACACTGTACCACCTTCAATATGCTTTC